TAATATGGCAGTCTGTGGACACTGAATTACTATTGATGCCAGCCTTGAGCTTTAATTCCAAAAACTAATCTTTCAGTACTTCTGCTCTGGCTTCAGTTTTCAGTCCAGAAGGTTAATGCTTGCTTGGATATGGACGGGTCTAGCAAACGACAGAGACACACAAAAACTTGAACTTGGCTCATTTGACAACTCACTGGCCATGCAAGAACAGTTTCCTGGCAGATTATTTTGAAGTGGGAATGAGATTTCAACTGATTACTAAAAGCCAAAAACCTTTTAGGGAAACACATAATTATGATTTCTCTGACAGATATTGTAGTATGGAATTCTATTTGTAACATAATGTCAAGAATAATTTCAATATTCACAAAAAATAGATTACTAGCATGTGAAATAGATACCATCATCATTACTCTATTGTAATGGAAGAATAAAAAACGTAAAGGATTGCTTTAAATTCTTCTTTCAGTGCAGTTTTCCCCCATCGGCAGTGAATGTGACACAGATTTATTGTTCAGTCCTGCTCTTTGCTTTACATTCCGACAAAAAGAGAAAATGAAATGATTACTTTACATAGCACTATAAATCGTTCTGTGGTGTGACATCTGACATGACTTCAAATGAACATCTGTTGTCTTGAACACATCCGTTATGTTGATGCTAAAAGCAATGTTTTTCTTCTCTTGAGGCACATACCACAGGGAAATAATTATGCGAAGAGGCTGCATGGATGAGAACAATCATCCTTACAATAACACAATCTTCATCTCTAATTGAGACCCAAGTGGACAATGACAGAATAAGCCAATGAGACCCGCTAAGCATGGTAACGACCTAAAGGGGAACGAGGTATCCAATCCATTCTTCACCTTATGACCTTATAATTTACACGACAAATAAAAATAACACAAAATGAGGCAAAAATGACCAGTTACCAAGAACTTGCAAAGTGCAAACACCGTGACATTGCAAACAAGTGCATATGTGGGAGAGTAACAGTTAAAATCACAAGTGTTACACAGACTTTAGCTCAAGATGCAACTCGAGGCACTTTAGATGTTTATATTCACACAGTAACATTATATCATGCCATCAACTCAAACAGAGCTCATACTCACCTCACTAGCCCTTAAGCAAAATTCTGGTAATGGGCCCTTCTGTCTGAGCCTCAAGCCATGTAAACCATTTGCCATTACCACCCAGTCACACCGAACACTCTAGGCTCTCAGTACAGTCCTGCCTCCTTTATTTTGCTTTGTGTGCCAGTCGAGGAATAAGAGAATATTCAGAACAAGAGATATACCCACGAGGCGGATGCTTAACCGTTTAATTGTTTGCTAGGCATCACCTCAGCTAATATGAGTCACTAAACTGGATTGTGCTTTTTGGTTTAATGCAACCATCTGCCAACCTTTATAGGAGATATGTGTTTATGTTTTAGGTGAGTGAAATTCTAGGATTTAACTGAAATGTTATTTACTCTTTGTAAGACGCACCCTTGGCCAGGGATACAGCTTATTAACCAAATTTGGTATTTAACCAGGAACTTGGGTTTCACTGACTGCACCCATTCTACTCACAAGTAGAGGCTTCAAACCACCAATCACTGCATTCATTATTTTTGTGCAGTGTAATAATAAGGTCATTGTGAAAGATGAGACATGTTTTGTGCTTTAAGTACTTCTCACATTTCTGTCAGCACGTTCACCAACATTCCTCTCTAAACATTTTTTTTTATTATTTTTGTTATTATCCTTTTTTTTTCAGCTGGCATAACATTTCATTTACTGTGACAGACTAATAGTATATAATTTCAGGGCTGTCATTTGGAGTGGAGGTTAAGGTAAATTTGAAATATGTAACTAATATTAATATGTAACTATTAACAATAAGTTTTACTTCTATTTGTTTAAAAACATCTTATCAGTGGTTTAGTGTTCTTATTTTAATCATACTGACATACAAGGTATATATATATATATATATATAGCCAATTTCCATCATATATATCATATTTTCTGTGTAAATTCTATGTGGTGCGTTTTTCCACTCTTTAATTTTATATCAAAAACTATCACTAGCAAGACAAATCTCATCTCATCTGGTGCAGTTAAGTAATGATAGTATAGCCACAATTGCCAGGAGAATGTTAATCCCTTCTCCTTTCTGTTTCATAACCCGAATAACGGATTTCATTGCCCTCATAACTATAGAGGGAGGCTTAGCTCATTATTGGCCATAATCCAGTCTGAGAGTTCTCCCAATTGGTGGCGCAATAACAAATCAGTATTGTCCTTGGTATAGAGAAGGTGGAGATGTTAACAAAATCATTGCAGTGGAGAAAAAAAACAATTTCTGGCTGAAAGGTAACACTGCACAGGACTACAGGGTACAAGGCTGTAGTGGAGTGTCCCTGTTTAAGTCCCTGTTTAATTTTGCTTGATCACCACTGCTTTATCTAAAATATTCATTAAGTCAAGAGGTAAAGCTCTAAGATTTAAATATTATTAATGCACCTTGATCTCACTGTTTCACCAAAAGTTATCATTAGATCTTATCTCTACAAATATACCATGCATTAAATGACATTAAAAGACACATTATGGCAAGAAGTCACTGGATACAGTTGTAAATATCATAAAACTGTGGTGATTAACTGTTTCATATAGTGTCACATGCAGAACTTCAATTTTTCCACAACATAGTCTCTGCAATCTAACTCCTGTCAAGATCTCATACTGAGTACAGAGGTGATGACTTTAAAGGCCATAGCATATGAGTTACATCATTTTTATACCCATCAATTATGGTGGCATTGCCATCCTGTAAGAGCCCACTTTAAGTAGGATAGAGATGTTTCATTATACAATGATCACTTAGAATAACTTTGGAATTACTCTTCCTTTTAAAGAAAAGGCTGGACTCCAATTATCAAATGCCCCACCGCAGCATAACAGAAACACCTGATTCCCACAATGATTGTTAATTTTTCCATTTAACTTTTCACCTGCTTATATAAATTGGATTATGTAAACTATAAAAACCATTCATCACAAACAGCAGTTACCACCATAGTCTTACAGCTGAGTTTGACAGTCTTCATTTGGAAAAACATGTTTAGTAAACAGATTTTTTTAAAACACACACAAATATAGCATTTGCCATTGTGTGGTTTCAATTAAAAGATGCTAGACAGACTGTGGAGTGTGCCCATCAACAACAGCATCCACTCTTCACAACTGCCAAATGTCTAAATAACCACCCACTTCTGATATTTACTAAAATTGCTTCTTTTTTTTTAATGTTCCTGAATATAATTTTAACACTCCTTTCATGCATTTCTGGAACTAAATCATTGAATTAAACTCTTCAGTCAAACGTCTGCTTTTGTGCAACTGAAGTTCATTTTTATTCTGCGGGAATTCAGTTTCAACCTTTTTGTTTTTTATAGTATTTACTTGCTAATAGGTGATTTAATTGCTCTAAACACTCGGTATCTTTCAGAAACACATTTCACTACTGCCCAGCACCCACATCCTTGAACAATGACAAGCTTTCAGAGAGGACAGAATTAAAATTCAAAGGCAAGGCGGTTCATTTTAGTTCCAGGAACCCCTGTGCAAAAACACTTGACTGATTTTAATCACATTCTTATTTATTTCAGCTTAGAGCTTGACATGACTTTTTAAAACCCAGTGTTGATTTTCACTTTATTTTCACAGTGTAACAGCACCATCTAGCAGGTTTCTTTAGGAATTAGTGTTGCTCACTGAAGCTATTACACATGCTCAATCTAAAAGCCTTGCCTTTACGGCACTGCTGGAATAGTAAACATTTATTTGAAGAATAGGCTTTTACTAAGAGTACTTTATCTCCCTGTCTGCTGTGCAATCACATTAACTCAGGATTACTGTCTACATGTGTCTCCACCGCTCGGCTATAAGGCTGCGAAAACAGAAGGAATGACTCATGGAATATGATTGGCGTTTGGCAAATACCACAAAATCTCTGTCTGAGAGTCGCCGCATTACTCTTCCCATAAACAGAAATTAGAGTATAAACAGAATTTGCATTAAAAAGGTTTGCATTTTCTGAGGAAAATTACCTTACTCATCAGATACAATGCAGTGGCACGGTCTGTGTTTGTTTGAATTTAAAACAAGCACATTATTACACAAAAAATGAGCCCTTTAACTTATATGAACAGAACTGCCACAAAGCAATTATGAAGCATTTGTTGAGAATAAAAGATTTGATATGATAAAGTTCTCGTCCTCCTGAAACCCATTGTTTTAAAAATTGTGCTTAGGTACAATGAGACTATTCAAACAGAAGCTGCAGGTGTGAACCTCAGTAGTAACAGAAACAATAAACACTATTTCTGCGCTTCACCTCATTATATATACTCAAGTGCATTAAAATGCAAATGCATGCTTAAGCTGCTTTAACAAACACAAAGCCTGCACAGTGCCCTTATTACTTTGTGACTGTGGGATCTTTTCTTTCACGTCACATTAATGAAGCCATTTATATTAGTGACAAATACGATCATCCTTCTCTCCTTCTTACCTCTTTATTAACTCCATTTGCAGCTGGTGTTTAGTGTACTGGTGTGTGTGTGTGTGTGTGTGTGTGTGTGTGTGTGTGTGTGTGTGT